TTTGTCTCATGGCCGTATCCCCTGTTCCTGGTCCAGCACAGAGGCACTCAGTTTCTATTGTACAAAGAATGGATGAGCAAGGGAAATAGCAAGCACTTATCCTGAGCAGTCAAAGCATCTCACATTTCCCCAAGCACTCACAGATTCTCATCCTGTCCCTGGGCTCATAGCTTATCTAGGACAGAACTTCTGGGGTTCTGCCCTAAACTAAACTCAATAGTGTCACCCTGAAGTTGTTTAATGGTTTTGTCAGGCAATCAGGAAGTAGGGATCTTGGCCATCCCAACCCTACCAGTGCAATTTAAAGTCAATTCAACAGTTTCACCAACCAGCCATAGTGCAGTGCCTAGCTCCCACAGCACAGATTCAAGTTGTGGCTCTAGGAGATTTTTGAGCTTTTCAATCTTATTTCCTGGTTGTTTTTCCTTGCCCTCTTCTTCAAAGACATCAGCCTGAGTCAGTACCTACCACTTCCTAGGTGAAATAGGATTCTCTGCCACAGGGACTTTCCCTGTAGGATCCTTTAGTCTTTGAGGCCCAGCCCTTGGGCTGTACCCTTTCATTCACTGGCTAACCTGTTCCCACTCCTTCCATAGCCAGGATGTGTGCTGTGTGCACAGAGTAATACCAATGGCCATCAAAGGACTTCACCAGGCTGACTCAGAAGGAACTGGGATGTCAGGGGCTAGAGAGAATCCAAGTACTCACCTCGGGACTCAGATGGAATGAGTAAAATAAGGACATTCTTGAGCTCTGAGTCATCTGTTCCTCTTGTCCACCTCAGCTATCAGAATCTCAGAAAGATCAGGAGGAGCAAACATTTGCCCTTGAATGTCTTCTATTACCTTTTTCTCTTTTCTTTCTTCCTTTTTTCTCCTCCCCTCCCCCCAGGGTTTTCTCTGTGTAGCTCTGCCTGTCCTGGAACCTGGTCGTAGTCCAGAACTCAGAGATCTGCCTGCCTCTGTCTCCTGAGTGCTAGCATTAAATGTGTGCCACCACTACCCAGCTTTATTACCTTTTTTCAAAGCGGTTGAGTAACAGTGCTTCATTGCCCCATGTAACAGTACATTTACTACCATTCACTGGGGCCAGTTCCACCTTTGGCCAGCTCCGATGATTAGAAAGCCCTTCATAGCCAGTCTGTGTACTCATTGGTCTTTGTTATTTTTTGCTCAAGAGATACAGGATTGAGCTGTAAAGATGGCTCAGCAGTTAAGAATTCGAGCTCCTCCAGCAGAGGACTAGAGTTCAGTTCCCAGCATCCACTTCAGGCAGCTCATGGCTACCTGGACCTCCAGCTCCAGGGGATCCAGCACACCTTTGGCATTCAGCAAGCGTGCGCGTACACACACACACACACACACACACACACACACACACACAGGCGGGGGAGGGGGCACTTTGAAAACTACTATCTTCTGCCTCTCTTCCAGTTCAGCCTCCATGGTCATGGGCTCTTGTCACTATGCTCCTGTCTCCCTCCTGACTACAGCGTGTCTCTGAGCCAATCACTCAAACCTGTGCTTCTGCTAAGCACCTGCTCTTGCCAACTCTGAGCCAGCCAGAATCCTGTCCTCTCAGACCACTGTCATTCCACCTCCCACACGTTTCTTCTTAGGCAGACCACTGCTTGAGGACGAAAGAACCTGACTTTGAAATCATTCAGTCTATAAAATCCATCCCCAAAACAACTGGCCATCCCATACCCCAATATTTATCCATCATTGAAAAAGAAAATGCCACCACTAGGGACCTGCCTCAAAGCTGACAAAGATGCTAGTCAGGTTGCTGTTATCTGGGGCTTGATGCCCCACCAGTTGTAGCTGTATTTACTTCTTATGACACAAACCCCAGTTCACCATTTTGAGGCTAATAATGTTTTGGGTGGCTACAAAAGCACTGAGACTCAGAAACCTGGCTCCAACCCCAGCCCCCACCTCCATCACATGGGGTGCGTGACTTTCTTCACCGAGTATCTCTGGGCTGCTGGGGGAGGCCCTCCCCCTCTGACATCTTTTCCTGTAAAGGCCAGGATTACTAAGAAAGCATTGGAATCCCCATGGGGACACCGCTCTAGCTCCTCCCTCTTGGCTGCACAGCAGGTGACCTACTCAGGCTTCCCCTTCCATTTCCTTTCCAATGACTTGGTCTGAACCTCACACTTCCCAGCATTTGATTTCTCCTCATGTCCTCAGGTGCCTCCTTATACAAATTTCCAAGTACCTATCACTTGAGAACTGCTGAGCTACATCAGGCCAGGCTCCCCCTCCTGGCTCCTTCCCCGGGAGGTAGGAAGAAACTCCAGGACACCCATCTCAGCTTCCCAGAAACCTCCAACACTTCCTTGGGACTTCCACATTTCCTGTTAGCCTGTTCAGTGCAGTGCAGTAGGCAAGGCCAAGCTGGAGAGAATGTGAGCAAAGCAGTGTCTTCTAGAGTCCGACAGCAGGCTGTCATCCCTGAACAGAGTCCGTCTTCCTGCCATACTGACTATACAGCAACCAGCTATGATTATGGTCCATGAATAATGCCTTTGGGACCCGGCCATTCTTTCTCTTTGCAGTGTTCATTTCTCTCTGCTCATTTCCCCACTGAGGTTGCTCCATCCAGCACTCCCAGCCCTGCCCTAACCGTGACTCTACCGAAGCTTGTTTGTGGGTTCCCTCATCTTCCCTCTCCCTGGATGGCACAGTCCCTGCCACAGTGTAATTACTACGCGCACATGCCTGACACCCACGCTGACCTCTTCTGCTCTGGCCTCTCAGCCTCTCTCCAGGCAACTGTTTCCTGCTGCCTCAGGACATCTCCACATCAAACCCAACAGAGTAGAAGTGGCCCTTTCTCTTCACACACCACCTTCCATCCTTCTCGCTGCCACATTCCAACAGCTCTGTGGAAACCACACATTCCTTTGTTTTGTTTTTTCAGACAGGGTTTTTCTATGTAGCCCTAGCCATCCTAGACCAGACTTTGGCCTCAAATTCAGAGAACCGCCTGCCTCTGCCTGCCAAATTCTGGGATTAAAGGTATGTGCCGCCACGGCCACCACTACCCAGGCGGCAACACAAACCACAAATTCCTAAGTGTCTCCTTTATAATCTGATCTCCCGGGCTGTTGCTGGAGTAGCCTGACCCCAGCTACTCCCAAGCTTGCTTGTTGTTCCTCAGAAGCAGGTGCCATTCCCAAACCTCAGGCACACCTGTTCATCCAGGTGTCTTGATCCGGTTCCTTTTCTCTTCTGGTTAAAGAATCAAAGGGAAAGAAAAAAAATCTTGAGCACATCAGGTAGCGGCAGGGGAAATCTCAGACCCAGCAGATAGCAGGCAGAACTGACCAGGAAAGAAAGAAAGACGCTCCAAAAAAGCCAAAGCTGGGCATCTCCTAGAGGGCCTTTGAGGGGGATCTTCCTCCCCCAGTCTAGAGTTGGTCAGTTTGAATAAAAGCAGGGAGGCTGACAGGCCCACACGTTAGAAGTAAATACATACTGGTCCGGCCTTGAACTTGGCAGACTGCTCAACAGGCAAGAAAAAAACCTCCAGACCTTTGTTTTAAGTTGCCAGGGTTTTATCTCAGGAAAAGAGGGTGAAGGAGAAGCCAGCTATCTTTTTTTTTTTCTTTTTTCCTGAGGCAGGATTTCTCTGTAGCTTTGAAGGCTATCCTGGAACTAGCTCTTTGTAGACCAGGCTGGTCTCAAACTCACAG